GTACTTCCTCCTGTGCTCCCTTCCTTAGGGATCAGTGAGTATAACAAACTATCTTTTCAATGGCAGTCATCTCCTCCTGATCATACCTGAATAATAATGAAACATGTATTTTAAAACAGGGCATGTGTAGCAAAGATTTGTGCACTTTAATATATGTAAATTTCCCTTAAAAAAGAAAAAAGTGTAGAAATAAATTATTGAGTGGATGAGTGGGGAGTAGACAGAAGTACAGATGAAACAAGAATGGCAAAATGATAGTTGTTATAGTTGGGTTATCGGTACATGAGGGTTAATTATGCTATTCTGTTTATTTTGTATATATTTGAAATTTTCCATAGAAAGTTTAAAAAATAAAACAAAAAATAAAAGCAGAACATAATGTTAAAATATTGACCCAAGATGGACTTCTATAGACTTCAGAAAATAATAAGTATGGCAAGATAAAAAACATTCATGCCCAACTGTGGGGAAAGGAAAACATCAAAAAACTAAAAATATTAAAAAATAAATCAATATAAGATATTATGACAGAGAAAAAAAGTAAATAATTTTATTTAGAAATTCCCAAACAGAAAAATATATTTTAACTTGGGGACTACAGAAAATATTATATAGGTTTAAAAGCAAGTTTAAAGTTAATATTAAAATAAGTTCCAGTGGGAATTACTTTAAAAACTTCTCTTTCTTAAAACACTAGCAGATATCAGATTCTCCCCATTTTTCAAGTGTCTGGTGTTTGGTGATCCAGGATATGACTGTAGTTTACAGGTTAGAGTGGGGACTTACAGAAGTCAGGTAATATGTAGAGTTTCTAACAAAATCCACCTCCTGGTAAGTGAAGTTGGACCTCTCACCCCTAATTAAATTATACTCCTGAATCCTCAGCGTATATATTAATGGACAGATGTCCTTCATAATATTGACTGCCAGACCCATGGAATTAGAACTATTAGATAAGGAAGAGCCAGTGAAAGTTCTGGAGCTCCGTCAACCCAAACATCCATCAAAATACTAATCCCTAAGGTAGCTGCAGAGATCAGTGCCACCATCCAAGGCTTAAAAGATGCATGGGTAGTGATTCCTATTATATTCCCATTTAACTCTCATTTAGGTCTCCAAAATGAGTGTGGTGTGTCTTAGAGGAGGACAGATTATTATAGGTTCCAGCTGCCTGTGCTTTTCCGGATGCAATATCCTTGTGGAACAAATCAATTTATTCCCTGACCTGTAGGTACTAATCTGGTAACTTTTTTTCTCTAATACGTAGAAAAAATCAGCAGCATTTTACTTTTACCTGATACAGACATCATTATATTTACTATATTGCCACCAGGTTATATTAACTCTGTGCCAGATTAGCCTACAGCAGAGGATGGCAAACTATGACCCAAAGGCCAAATTCAAATCACCACCTGCTTTTTGTAAATACAGTTTTACTGCAACACAGCCTCACCCATTCTTTTATCTAACATCTATGGCTATCTTCAGGTGTTATATCCAAGGAGACTGTATGACCTGCAAAACCTAAAGACTAAAATGCTTTCTAAGATCAGGATGAGGAACAATACAAGGCTATCTACTCTTACAACTTTATTCTTTCAGGACATTTTTATAAGCATAGAATTCTATATTTACAGTTATTTTCAATAGTCATAAATATCTAATCCCACCGCATTTTCATCACCCCCAAAGGAAACCCCATGCCCATTAGTAGCAGTCATTGCCTATATTCCTCTAACCCTCCAGCTCCTATCAACCAATAATTTACTTTGTCTCCATGAGTCTGCCTATTCTGAACACTTCATATAAATAAACTTATAAATATGTGGCCTTTTATATCTGGCTTCTTTCACTTAGCCTATTTTTAAGATTCATCCATGTTATACCATGGATCAGTACTTCATTCCTTTTTTATTACTTAATATTTTGATTACATGGATATACCACATTTTGTTCAACCATTCATCAGTTGATAGATATTTGAGTTTTTCCCTCTTTTGGCTGTTTTGAATAATGCTGCTATTCATGAATTATTTTGAATAATGCTACATTCATGTACTTAGTTTTGTGTGGACACATGTTTTCATTTGTCTGGGGTATATATCTAGGAGTAGAACTGCTGGGTCATATGATAACTCTGCTTAACTTTTTGAGGAATTTCCAAACTATTTTCCAAAGTGATTGTACAATTTAACATCGCCACTGGCGATGTAGGAGGGTTCCAAGTTCTCTATATCCTTGTCAACACTTGCTACTGTTTTTTTATTTTAGCCATTGTAGTACGTATGAAGTGGTATCTCCTTATAGTTTTGCTTTGCATTTCCCTAATGACGTAGAGCATCTTTTCATGTTTAATTAGCCAGTTGTACAACTTCTTTGTAGAAATGCCTATTCTAATCCTTTCCCTCATTTTAGATTGGATTATTTATCTTTTTTATTATTGAGCTGTAAGAATTACTTATATATTCGGATATTAGTCCCTTACCAGATATATGTCTTGCAAATATTTTCTCCCATTCTGTGGGTTGTCTTTTCACTTTCTTCATAGTGTCCTTTAAAGAACAAAGTTTTAAATTTTGAGCCAGGTGCACTGGTGCACGCCTTTAGTCCCACCTACTCAGGAGGCTGAGGTGGGAGGATAGCATGAGCCCAGGAATTCAAGAACAACCTAGGCAACATAGCAAGATCTCATCTCAAAAAAAAAAATAATAATTTTGATGACGTCTACTTTATCTACTTTTTCTTTTTTTACTGTACTTCTGGTGTCAAATCTAAAAAACCTAATATATGATTACAAAGATTACATCTATGTTTTTGTCTAAAAGTTTTATAGTTTTAGCTGTTCAACTTAGGTCTCTGATCCATTTTGAGTAAATATGTTGTGAGGTAGGGATACAACTTCATTCTTTTGTATGTGGGTATCCAGTTGTCCCAGAATCATTTGTTGAAAAGGCTATTCACCATTTTCTTGGCATCACTGTCAAAAATTAGTTAACCATGATGAGAAGGGTTTATTTCTGTACTATCACTTCTATTCCATTGATCTATATGTTTATTCTTAAACTAGACCTACACAGCTGTGATTACTGTAGCTTGGTAGTAAGTATGGAAGTGTGAGTCATCCAACTTTGTTCTTTTCCAAAATTATTTTGGCCATTCTCCATCCTTTGCATTTCCATATGAATTTTGGGATCAATTTGTCAATGTCTGCAAAAAAGATAGCTGGGATTTTCATAGAGATTGTGTAGAATCTGTGTATCAATTCAGGGAGTACAATCATTTTTATAATATTGTCTTCCAATCCATGAACATGAGAATATTTTCCATTAATTAGGTATTGCTTAATTTCTTTCAATGATGTTTTGAAAGTTTCAGTGTATACGATCTTCTTAATTTCATTTTCAGATTGTTCATTGCTAATGTATAGAATACAATCGATTTTTTATATTAATCTTGTACCCTACAACCTCAATGAACTTATTTATATTAGTTCTAATAGTTTTTGAGTGGATTCCTTAGAATTTTCTGCATAACAGATTGTCATATGTGAATAAAGTTATTTTATTTCTTCTTCACAATCCCGATGCCGTTTATTTATTGTCCTTGCACAACTGCCCCATATAGAACGTCTGGTACAATGTTGAGTCAAAGTAGGAAGTAGTAAAAGCAGATATCCTTGCCTTGTTCCTGGATCTTAGGAAAAAGCATTTAGTCTTTTACCATTAGGTATAATGTTAGCTGTGGGTTTTTAAAAAATGCTCTTCATTAGGTTGAGGAAGTTCCCTTATACTCCTAATTTGTTGAGCGGGTTTTTTTTTAATCACAAAAGGCTGTTTAATTTTGTCAAATGCTTTTTCTGCATCCATTGAGATGATCGTGTGTTTTTTGCTTTTTATTCTATCGATATCTTTTTTAATCCTTTGACTTTCAATCTATTTGTATCTTTGAACCTAAGATATGTCTCCTAAAGACAGTATATATTTGGAACTCCCATTTTTATTTCTAATCCAGTCTTTTAATCTCTGCCTTTTGGCTGGAATATATTCATACTTTTTAAATCAATTCACATACAATGTTATTATTGATATAGTGGATTTATATGTCATTTTACTTTTTTCCTATATGTCTCATGTCTTTTTTTTTTTTATTTTGCTTCATCCCTCCTTTACTATTTTCATTTGCATTAAGTGAATATGTTATAGTGCAGTATTTTAAAATATTTAATAATTTTCACTACTTTTTGAGTTATTTGCTTTGAGATGCCATAGGCTTACTATATACATCTTCAAAGAAACAGCTTCAGATTTATGTTAATTCATTCTAGTGAGCTACAGAAACATTATTCCTATATAGCTCTATTCATTTTCTTCCCTTTTTGTGGTATTGTTACACTTATCAATAAACATTACAAACCCCAAAATACCTTATTATAAGTATTACTTTATATAATACAATGACTTGTATGTCTTTTAAAGATGCTAAGAGAAGAAAGGAAGTAGTCGTGCATTTATAGATTTTGTTAACATTAATCTTATCATTTTTGGCTTTCCCCATTTGTTTCTGGAGATTTGAATCACTATCTGGAATAAATTCCTTAGCCCAGTATAGCTTTGTTACCATCTATCTCCTTTGCGCTGTTATTGGAAAATATATACATATATTATTTGTTATTGGAAAATATATATACATATACTTATATATATATACAATACACATACATATATATACATATATTACATGACATTACAGGCCCCAAAAGACATTGTATACATACGTTTATATAATTGCTTTTTAAATCAGTTACCGAAGGAAAAAAAATGCATTTTTACTTTCTAATTACTTAATAATTACCTTTATCATTTCTCTTTATTTTTTTATGTGGATTCAGATTACTGTCTGGAGTCACTTGCTTTCAGCCTAAAGAATTTCCTTTATTATTTGAGTCTGCTAGTAACAAATTCTCTCACTTTTGATTTACCTGCAAATGTCTTTATTTTGCCTTCATTTTTTTTTTTTAAACTGCAAAAGACAAAAAATATCTTTATTGCTATAAGTTAATACAGAAGGTATAGCTGAGAAAGCATATATCAGTTGGTTAGGGCAATAAGAGCCTCTACCACATTGCCCATGTGTTCCCGCAAGCTCTGTTCTGCTGCTGCTCGAGAGATCTCCATCTCTGTCATTATCAGCTCCAGATCTTCCTTTTTGATAGTGACTTTTGCCAGTTCCTTCTCCCGCTCCTGTTTGGCTTTCTGCTCACGGGACCGTCTGTCTCCAATAACAGACATGGCCGTTTCCAGATTGGAACTCTGGATCTCCTTCTCCGCATAGTCGGTGACCCGCTCGAGGTCCGCCGCACCACTGTCATGTTTCCATGGCTTCTCGGGAGGCCGCTCTGGGCCGCTGGTCTCAGTCTCCAACTCCAGCTCCACATCCCCTTCGGTCGCCATATCGGTTCCCTGCCTTCATTTTTTTGAAAGATAGCTTAGATGGCTATAAATTCTTGGTTGACAGTTCTTTCTTTGTGCACTTTGTACATGTTATGCCACTACCGTCTAGTGGCTACTGTTTCCGCTGAGAAATCAGCTGTTAATCTTATTGAGTTCCCTTTAAGTAATCAGTTATTTTTCTGTTGCTACTTTCAAGATCTTCTCCTTGTCTTTGGCTTTCAGCATTTTTACTATGATTCATCTATTTGTGGATCTCTTGTGTGTATCCTATATGGAGTTCATTGAGCTTTCTGGAAGAATGGATTAATGTTTTTTAGTAAACATAGGAAATTTTCAGCCATTATTTCTTCAAATATTTCTGGCTCCTTTGTCTCTCCCCTCTGCTTCTGTTATCTCATCACATATATGTTGATGTGATTACTAATGTCCCATTTTTCTGAGGTTCTATTAATTTTTCCTCATTCTTTTTTCTCTCTGTTCTGTAGATTACATAATCTCTATCAATCAATCTTCAAATTTGCTAACTCTTTTTTTTTCCTCGTTCTGTCACCCAGACTAGAGTGCAATGGCATCATCACAGCTCACTGCAATCTCAAACTCTTGGGTTCAAGTGATCCTCCTGCCTTAGCCTCCTGAGTAGCTGAGACTCAGGTGTGTGCCACCATACCTGGCTAATTTTTTCCTATTTTCAGTAGAGACGAGGTCTTCTCTTGCTTAGGCTGATCTTGAACTCCTGAACTCCTGAGCTCAAACAATTCTCCTGCTTCAGCCTCACAAAATGCTAGGATTATAGATGTGAGCCACCACATCTGACCTGCTAACTTTTTCTTCTGCCAGTTCAAATCCACTGTTAAGTCCTTCTAATGAATTTTTCATTTTCGTTATTGTATTTTTAAATTCCAGAACTTCCATCTGGTTCTTTTTTTATAATTTCTATCTCCTTATTGATATTATCTATTTGAAGCAACATTATCATCATACCTTACTTTACTTCTTTAGTTCTGGCTTACTTTAGTTTTTGAACACTACTATAATGGCTATATTGAAGTCTTTGCCTGTTAAATCTGACATTTGGTTATTCTCCAAGGTAATTTCTGTTGTCTGGTTTTCTCCTATGTATGTTTCATACTTTTCTGTTTCTTTGCATGTCTCCTAATTTTTTATTGGAAAGTGGACATTTTAGATAACATATTGTAATAATCTGATACTAGCCTATCCTCCCCTTGTCTTTGGCTTATAATTGTTATTTGCTTATTTACTTGTTTAGTGACTGGTTTGATTATTTTAGTGAAATTTGTTTCCCCCTTCTCCCACATTGTATTAATCAAATCAAATGTCAAGTGTTGTGTTCAGTCCATATTTAAGGAATACTAGCAAACTAAAACATGTCCAGAATAAGCCTCCAGGATAGGGAGGACTTGCAAATGCCATATACAAAAAGTCTAAGAGAACTGAAGACATTTTATATGAAGTAGATTAGATTAAAAGGATGGAAAGGATATATAGTTGCTGACTTAACTGTTATTCTGGTTCAGCTGAAGTATGAGATAAAGACGTGACAGTACTGAGACAGACTGGTAAGCATTATAGGGAAGCAGACTTCAGCTCAATGTATAAGAAAGAATTTTTTAAACAAGTAGTCCAACAATGGCAAATGCCATCTTATAAAATAATGAGGTGTCCACTTTTAAGCTAAAGTTTACTTCCTCTCACAACCGTTGAGGTTGGCATTCCTTCTTTGGAAGTGGAGGTTTGAACAGATGATCACTAAGGTCTTTACATTTTCTGTGACAATCAAGAACCCTGGCCTTAAATGTTCCCATTTTGACATAATGCAAAGCACTTCACACAGTACAAAGAAACTACTTTTCATTTCTATAAAAATGTTTACAAAGAAACCTCCTTAAATGTTTTCTTAGCAAAAAGATCCTCTGTGATTGCTACTTGAAAGTATTTTCCTGATCAGACACATATCTGGTAGCTTACTCTATAAACCACTAGGAGAAATGATTGTTTTGACTTCTGCATTCCCTCATGTACTTGATTTAAAGTATTACTCATTTTCAAGAGTTTCTCAGTTCTTATGAAAGATTTTTTAATAAAACACTTGAGATCCAGAACTCACCAGAAGAAATCTTACCAGCACCTTTACAGTCAACAGAAAATGCAGATGTGACTCCATTGGCTGACCCCAGTTCACACATGGAAATTTGATAAGGGGGCCTCAGCTTGATTTCCATCTGCATGTCAGACAGGTTTATCTTTGTTGAAAGAGACCTGGGATTATTGTATCGCTGCTTGGTCCTCTGAATGAAGTTATCTATGCAAAATAAAAATAAATTTCCTTGCAGTCATTTGTTAATTAAACCACTGAGAGTATGATGTTTATGGACAGTAAATTATATAAACATTTTGTTACTCAAAACTATTCAATTTGTCATGAAATGTTCTAATATTATTATACTTGTGTTTAATGGCTGATACATCATGAGGTTAGGTTATCAGTTTTACACTATAGAAATTATACTCTAGAAGTCAGTAATTGTAAATAAACTAAGGGTTTAACGCTACATGAGTATGAGTATTATATCTACTTAAAGGAATTAAAACAAAAAACAGCTTTCACTTTAAACCAAAGTCGTAATTTTTTTTATTTATTTATTTATTTTTTTTGAGACAGAGTCTCGCTCTGTTGCCTGGGCTAGAGTGCTGTGGCTTCACCCTAGCTCATAGCAATCTCAAACTCCTGGGCTCAGGTGATCCTCTTGCCTCAGCCTCCCAAGTAGCTGGGGCTACAGGCAAGCACCACCATGCCTGGCTAATTTTTTTATATATTTTAAGTTGTCCAGCTAATTTCTTCCTATTTTTTTAGTAGAGACGAGGTCTTGCTCTTGCTCTGGCTGGTCTTGAACTCCTGTACTCAAATGATCCACCCACCTCAGCCTCCCAGAGTGCTAGGATTACAGGCGTGAGCCACCGCACCCCAGCCTAAACTAAAGTCATAATTTTTATAGGAATTCTTATGAAATATTAAATCTGTCAGATTTACTAGTTGCAATTACATAAGAACATACACTGTAAGTTATGTTTTTATAAATCGGTTTTCTTTTTATTGCTTACATCATTAGAATGTACATTTTAAAGAATTAAATGAAACCAATAAAAGATATTTTCTAAATATCTTCTACATAGAATTTTATTATTGTTTAACATGTTTTTCCCCCTTCTACATCAGAATTGAGCAAAGTACTGCCTGTAGGCCAAATCTATCCTGCTGTTTTTGTACAGTTTTATTAGAACATAACCACGCTTATTCATTTATGTACTACCTATGTCTGCTTTCGAGCTACAATGGCAGGGCTGAGTAGTTGTGACAGAGGATATATATGGCCCTTAAAGCCTAAAATATATACTATCTGGTCCTTTCCAGCAAATGTTTGCCAATCCCTGTTCTACACTAAGTGGACTATAAAAGATTATCACATAAACACAAAAGTCTGAATCTGATTTATACATTTCTCATTGAGAAATTGTTCTCTGGCATTAATTCTTTGGGCCAATAATCACAATCTCCTTCACAGCTCAAACATAATTTTTTCTACGAGGCATCTAAATTAAGAAAGAAGTTACCATAATTTATACATCATTTACCAAATTATTCTATCAAAAGCTAGGCAGCAGAAGTTTCTCCCCAGCCTCCCAGTATTAGATTTAAAAAAATTGCTTATGACTGTGGAGAAAGGGTAATAAAAAGGAAAAAAATCAGGCCCTTACCAAATTCAATGAAACAGTATGGTCTGACAGCAGTATTTGTCGTCATCATGTTATAAGTAGTAATGAACTCCTTCTGAAGCTCATCCAGGAAAGAGAAGGCGAGAACATTTGGGTAATTTTCAGTGCACAACATCATGTAGCTCACTCCCAGAGAGCTAATAAAACTATAGTGTAAAAAACATTGGTTTTAAAATTTCAAATTAAACCAAGGTAATTCACTGTTTCACAAGACCAGTTCTGTACACCATAAACTGCTGCTTCAGTGGCAATGAAGATATTAACATTTATTATACATTCCAGCAAAAAATTTAAAGGAACCAAAATATGGTACTATTTTAAGTGTGGTTTAAAAACAGCAGACAAAAAAATGGTATGTACTACAGAGGGACATCCACTATAGTTCTAACACTTCAGTTACTTATCACTTGGAGTAGAAAGCAGGGGAAAGAATATATAAATATAGAAATGTTACAGATAGCTTCAAGTCTAACCCTTCAACATAGTGGAACTTATCCACTTTTGAGTTAAGAGCCCTTTACAGATTCTGATGAAAGTTATGTACACTCTCCCCAGAAAGATGTTCAAACAACACAGAACACTGCACACAATTTCAGGATGGTCACTGACCTCTTGAAGTCATCACTGACCCCAGAATCAAATCCTCTACTTCACACAGCAATGAATTATGAATGATTGGTGGGAAAAAAGAGGAATTTATGAGTTCGGTAACAACAAAATAACATAAAAAGGATAGAAATGAGCACTCTTGCTTAGAGCAGAATACTGACAGCTGACTGGTAAATGTGGAAGTAGTGTTAGCATTGGAAAAATCGGCATTTTGCAACCAACACAGAAAAAATTGGATCAAGCAAGGACTATCATGGATGCTAAATCTAGGGGGAAATTTTGATAGAGCACTATATTTGCATGGTTTTAAATTGGCTTCCCATGGATTGCTTATTGTAAAGGGAAAATATTACACAGTTGAAACTAGAACACCTTGACCAAGTATTCTAACATCACTCATGAGGGGCAGATGGACATCATGTGCCTCCAGATGTGATATTCTGATAAAGACATATCAGCTACATAGTATTCTGGCTAAGAATGCATAACCTGAATCTAATCATAAGGAAACATCAGAATAATCAACATTCTATTTTTAAAAAGGAGAATGTTGAAAAAAAGAAATCGAAATGTTTCCAAATCAAAGGAGGCTAAAGAGACAGACAACTAAATGCAGTAGCTAGTCCAGATCCTGTGCCAAAGAGGGGGAAAAATACTATAAAGGATGTTTGTGGATCATTCACAAAAAAGGAAAACAGGCAATAGATTAAACTATGGTATCAATATTAAATTTACTATAGCTGATAAATATACTGTAGTTAAGTAAGAGAATATCTTTAATCTTAGAAAATACACTCTGAAAAAATAATATTTAAAAAAAATGTTAAAAGTAAAAATTATTTTTAAAAAATCCAGAAAACCAATTGGATAGTTCTGGGGTAAAAAAATAATATTTAAAAAAATGTAGAAAGGGGAGATAAGGAAGGAAGGAAGGAAGGAAGGAAGGAAGGAAGGAAGGGAGGGAGGGAGGAAGGGAGGAAGGAAGGGAGGAAGGAAGGGAGGAAGAAAGAAAATACACTCTGAAGTAGTTAAGAAGAAAGAGGCATGGTATTCGTGTTTCTCTCAAATGGTTCAAACAAAAAATACATCAGGGCCAGGCACAGTGACTCACGCCTGTAATCCCAGCACTCTGGGAGGCCGAGGCGGGCGGATTGCTCAAGGTCAGGAGTTCGAAACCAGCCTGAGCAAGAGTGAGACCCCGTCTCTACTATAAATAGAAAGAAATTAATTGGCCAACTAATATATATAGAAAAAATTAGCCGGGCATGGGGGTGCATGCCTGTAGTCCCATCTACTCGGGAGGCTGAGGCAGCAGGATTGCTTGAGCTCAGGAGTTTGAGTTTGCTGTGAGCCAGGCTGATGCCATGGCACTCACTCTAGCCTGGGCAGCAAAGCGAGACTCTGTCTCAAAAAAAAAACAAAAAAAAACAAATGGGGTAAAATGTTAACAAAAGGTGAATCTGGGAACAGGTATTATTTGAATTTGTCTCATTCATACAACTTTTCTGTAAGTTTGAAATTATTTCTAAATAACAAGTTCAAAATTAAAAACAAAACCTTCTACTTTAGCACTAAAACTAAAACATTTAAATTAACCATGTTCTATGGGGAAAAAGAAAACATCGTATATACCACCCTATAGTAAATAGGCAGAGCACAGGACACATATTAGCCCTTTTTAGTGAGTCACCTAAACATCCTTGTATAGTATTGTCAACACAGCTGGTCAGATCAGGGGCAATAAACAGAATATATAGGATATAACTTCCCACTTTTATGCCAGAGAGTGCTAATCTATCACACAACCTTTATTGCCAATCCTTGATCCATACTGGAGGCACCTCCTCTTTTTTTTCTTTAATAATGTACAGGCAGAATTTATTTATTATTTTCGATTTAGTGTTTAGAATAAATATGTTCACATGATTCAAATTTTAAAAAAATGAAAAATGAAAGGGTTTACTGCACTTAAAGTATCTTATCTCCTACCCCTGCTCAATAGTTCTCCTCTTAGGCAATCCATGCTATTATTAATTTCTATGGATGGGGTGAGGTGGCTCACACTTATAATCCTGGCTCTCTGGGAGGCCGAGACAGGAGGGTTCACTTGAGCTCAGGAGATTGAGACCAGCCTAAGCAAGAGCGAGACCCATCTCTACTAAAAATAGAAAAAATTAGCTGGCAACTAAAAATAGAAACAAAAAATTATCCGGGCATGATGGCAATTGCCTGTAGTCCCAGCTATTCAGGAGGCTGAGGCAGGAGGATTGCTTGAGCTCAGGAGTTTGAGGTTGCTGTGAGTTATGCTGATGCCACGACACTCTACCCAGAGTGACTGAGCAAGACTGTGTCTCCAAAAAAAAAAAAATTCTATGTATCCTTTCAGAGAAACTTTGTGCATATGCAAGTAAATATGCGTATGTGTGGATATGTGTGTGTGTGTGTGTGTGTGTGTGTGTGTGTGTGTGTGTGTGTGTGTAAATGAATCTTTTTTGAAAGACCACCCTAGGCAGCCAAATGGCATGGGATTGGCACTTATTAATACTCTATCACTAATGGTATGGAATATACTGGTGCTGAAACTTTGCTAGTCTTATGCTTCTAGAGTAACCTGGAATACCTTTCTGAAGTTCCACTTAATATAGAGTCATTTGGTGCAATGTCAATGTTTTTCAAAGTGTAAGTTGTTATTTATCAGTGGGTCATAAAATTAGTGAATTACAGCACTTTCTAAAAATTTAAATAGAATATCATAAACCACATATTGTTTCATTAAACTTTTTAGTTTCCTGCATGTATATATGTACTGTTCACAAAGTAAAATGTATTTCTTCTTAAGGATCATAGTCAAATTTAGCCATTGCACATTGAATTTTTCTAAATATCTAAATCAAAGTCCAAAATATGTTTTCCCAAATGATTTTCTCTTTCCAAAAAAATCTTCACTGTCATTATAAAAATTCTTTGACATGTCATTAGCATTCAAATATGCCACACAGGCCGGGCGCGTGGCTCACGCCTGTAATCCTAGCACTCTGGGAGGCCGAGGCGGGCGGATTGCTCGAGGTCAGGAGTTCGAAACCAACCTGAGCAAGAGCGAGACCCCGTCTCTACTATAAATAGAAAGAAATTAATTGGCCAACTAATACGTATAGAAAAAATTAGCCGGGCATGGTGGCGCATGCCTGTAGTCCCAGCTACTCGGGAGGCTGAGGCAGGAGGATCGCTTGAGCCCAGGAGTTTGAGGTTGCTGTGAGCCAGGCTGACGCCATGGCACTCACTCTAGCCTGGGCAACAAAGCGAGACTCTGTCTCAAAAAAAAAAAAAAAAAAATATGCCACACAATAACTTGAATATAATTGGTGATTGGCTTCTACGCCCTGGGAATTCCCAACTGGCTAGAAAGAAGTTATTAATATTCTACTATCTTCCAAAAATATGACTGAAGTTTTTGGACTCTTTTGTGTTATGTCAGGGTTTTACTGTATTTCCATTCTTACAGAGTGAATCACAGACACCTAATGACAGTTTATCCCAAATGGTTTATCTTGCTTGTGCTAAATTTAATTAGAGAATTATATGTGAAATAAAGGAAATCCTATGTTTTTAAGATTGTATGTTAGTATTTTCAGGGAATCTTTATTTTGCTATAATTACATGATACTCTCTGAAAAGGCTATAAAGTGATGTGCAATATTATGGCTTTTCATAGTGAATTTAGGCTTATCATGCTTTATTTGAACTGCAAAGCCAGTTATCCAAAGGTAAACACAACTCAGCTAATTTGTGTTTATAATAAAAATTTCTGCTTTTTCAACTATCACTAGGACAGATCAAAAGATTCCCACCATTTCACTGAGGACTACTCATGAAATAGTCTAAAGTCACGATAGGCATGCCAGTTTATACATGTTTTAGTCATGTTCATTAGGTTCACTTAGCTCATATTTTATAAACAATCTGGCAGTTATCCCTCTGCCTTGAGGAGAAAGAAGAGAAACAGTAGTAATAGTAATGGCAGCACGTACAGTTTACTGACCAGTTAGTATGAACGAGGCCCTTTGCTAAGTACTTCACATATTTAGTTGCATTCTCACAATAAAGGGGCACTACTATCTCCACTTCACAAATGAATGAACAGAAGCTCAGAGAAGTTCAGTAACTTACCCAAGGCCACACACCATTAAAGAAACAGAGCTTTTATTTATTGAAATAAATAAATTTATCTATTTATTTAGATAAATTCCTAAATTTATCAGGAATAAATTTAGTCCTGATTCCAAAGCCCATGTTCTTTCCAAACACAACACCAACTTCCATATAGTATAGATGAACCATTTATGTCCTAATTCACCAACAGGTTTTCACCTTTTCCAAGCCAGGCTTTAGGGTTCAGGTCAGTGAGTTTTCAACATGTCTCTACTTTAAAGAGAGGGATATTTTCAGGGGCCATGTAGAATTACTCACCTCCACAGTGAGTACCCCCAGATGGCTATTCAGGTCTAACAGACATGTCTGTTCTCCCTTTCTCACTGTC